TCTTAGCTATATAAAACTCCCTAATAGTACAGTGGCCCCCCGCATACCGTACGCATAAACATAACGTTCAATCCGCATCCCGCTCGTTTTTATTGCAAAAATTTTGCCTCACATACCATCAAAAACCCTCACCGCTCTTCGCCCGGGGACGCGTCCAATGTGCCCCCTTAGCCAGCCTCACATGTGCCGCCGGTGGTATTGTTTACCAGCCAGCCTCCGCGGTAAATCCAAACATACAATCGGAAAATTTCCTATTTTTACAGTGTTTTTGGTGATTTTATCTGGAAAATAAGTGCGATGGGGCCCCCAAAAAAGCTTATAGTGCCAACCCTACAGCAATAAGGGTGAGAATTTTCTATAGAGTGAAGAAAAAGATCATTGATAAGTATGAAAGTGGAGTGCGTGTCTCCGAGCTGGCCAGGTTTTATAAAAAAACCCCAATCAACCATCGCTACTATTGGTGGTACAGCTGCTGCTGCTGCTGCACTGTCAGCTGCGCTGCTGCTGCTGTAGCACCGTTGTTTGGTGTGGCTTATTGAGAAAACCAAGAAACAATTAACCCCAGAGGATTTTCCACCCAGGATACCCAAAAAAAGTCAGTGTCATCGAAGGGCTGTCTAACTTATTTCATTGGGGCCCTTAATCTTGTCCCCCAGGATGAACCCCCACCGTCGATAAAACCCAGGGGAACAGGGAAAATGCCTGGAACTAGTGCTCATATTGGTGAATTTAAAGCCGAAAAGGTTGGTTTGAGAGTTTTAAAGAATCTAGTGGCATACACAGTGTGAAAAGGGCCCGTTCGGAAAGGGAAAATGCCAAACAGGCCCCTACGTACTCAGGGGAAAGGCACCCCCAGGACACAGTGTTCATCAGTCTTGCTGATTTCAATAAGGTAAGTGTCTTTATTTTTTTTTAGTAGAGTAGTACAGCAAATATATATTGTGCTTTGAAATACTCTATATTGTGCATGTACCCTTCTCTTTGTGTGTGGGAAAAATGATATTTCATGTGGAAAAATTTTTTTTTTTCTCTTTTGGGTGTCTTTGCACGATTAATTTGATTTTCCTTATTTCTTATGGGGGAAAATTCATTCGCTTTCCGATCATTTGCAAACAATAGCCCTTTTTGAGGATTAAAAACGCTATGCGGGGGTCCACTGTACTGTAATGTAATGTTTCAATCTTTTTTTTCATTCTGTTTTACCATAATTTACTTTTTTGATATTATTTTTTTTAAACAAAAAACTTCTATTGATAACACTACCACCGACTTCGAGAGTTCGGGTTCCCAGAAACCGGGCGTAAGTCGAAAATGGTCGTAAGTATAACTTTAGTACTGAATATCAATAAAACGTTTTTGTAATGACTTTATTTTATTGTTTTATTTTGGTATTTCATGTTTTACTTTACTTTTTATGTTGTTAGTACTGTATTTTATACTGTAAGGTTTAGGATAAACACTGTGTACAACACAAATAGTTGTTTATTTCCCAGAAATTTGGCATAAAAAACACGGTCGTAAGTCGAGTGGTCGTAAGTCGAGCAGGTCGTAAGTCGGATGGTAGGTGTATTTTAATTATTTACGTACTGTATAATATGTATACATGGTAGTGAACTGTATTGTAAATTTTACATCTCATACAGTATTGTATGTTGCTGTTATCTTTAAGTATTGTTGACACAGTGGATTGGGAGAATACCACTGGTAGTGTCATCCTGCCAGAATGTCCTGTAACCTATACCCTAAGTAAAGAGAAACAAATCTGGAACGTGTAATATGTATTCGGCTGGCTGGCTGGATGGCTAGCAGGCCGGCCAGCCGGCTGGGTGGGTGGGAGGTTGGGTCATATCTATTTCGCTAGAACTCCATTTTTTTCTATCGAATGAGTAGAAAAAAACACCCATTTACCGATTTCAAGTATCCAATAAAGTGGTCAGAAACTGGCAATTTTGCCAATTTCACATAAATTTCAGAAGATGCCAATTTCCAATTAGGGTCCAGAATGAGCAAGACAGACAGTCCTGGCACTAAAATAAAAATTTTTCTGTTCATTAGTCACATCCCCAGGCCCCTCTTACATCTCTTTTGCTTTCCACTTTGAATTTTTATTCTCAAAAAAAAAAAAAAAAATAAAAGATTTACTGTTATGCAGACTACTGCATTAGTGTAGAAATGGTATAAATAATATCAGCGCACTTGTGAAAGAATATTAGACTCGCCAGTTGACGTGTATTGGACGCTTGGCATGATTTGTTTACTCTTGAACTTCGGTAAAAATCGAACATTTCTGCTACTTTGAGCTCGATTCAAGGTACTTTTCATTATGAAACCAATCAAAATCATCTCAATTTCTGTAATATGTCTTCCATTCTATAAAATGAGACCAGGAAAGCTAGAATACAGCCATAAATACCATACGAAAATACACTGCAAAGTCGCTGTTTTAAACCAAAAACACGGTCAGAGTTTTTTTCTCTCATGCACTGTGTGCTGCAGGATTTTTTTTATACTGTGCACACTGACTACATAGACCCATTCTTTCATATGTAGGCGTACCAGCTTTCTCTCACTAGATTTGAAGGCACTAGAATTTAGGGGTTCTAGTACATCAGTAACCCTGGTGCATAAGCCGTACTAGTACGTCGGAAACCTTGAAAGGGTTAAGAGGAAAGTGGTGTTGACCCTGAGTTTAGTGGCTTTGAGGTGGATGTGGCCACAAGTGGTCGAGATAATATTGAAAACCTCAATAATAACCCATGTGCAACATTTATGCAACATCCTTTCAATTTTGGTACCCCTGGTAATGTCATCCTACCAGAATGTCCTATAACCTGGAAAATGTGATACGTGTTCGGCAGGCTGGGTGGCTGGCTGATTGACTTTGGCTGTCTCTATCTCTGTCTGTCTGTATCTATCTCTATCTCTGTCTTTGTATATCTCTGTCTCTGTCTATCTTGCTCTCTATCTCTATCTCTGTCTCTATCTCACAAGTACACACAAATACAATTATATATAATGTAAATTACCTAGGATAACCCAAAAAATCCAGACAAAGTACTGTACTATGCCTGTAGATATAATGCATAATGAGAATGACTGGCAGGTAATATGCATTTTTATTTATTCAGGAATCAGGCATGATGACTCTGCATCGTTTGTAATATCTGTTGGTTCACGAGTGGCTCTCTCTGAGATGGAAAGAAAGACAAGCAGACAGAGACACAGAAAGACAGATAAGCAGAGACAGAAATAAACAAAGAGAGCTAGACAGACAGACGGACAGACAGACATGTTTATGTGTAGCAGTGAAAACAAATAAAGCCAAGGCAGTGCATAATCATCAAATGTCACCCCACTGCTGCACTGTCAGCAGTGGAGTGACACTCGTCTTGCACCATGCTTCAAGGAGTTTCATATATACTCCAGCATGTCTAAAACATTACTGGGAGCTATAAATACTCTGTACATATATATTTGTAGACAATACTGTGTGACCAAGGTAGAAGAAAATGTTCACCTGTCAGTGTGTTTGTGACTATTTGAGTACCATTTCAGTACCTAATGCATGTATTAGTGTCAGAACAAAGATTGGCTATGAAATCACAAGAACTACTACAAACTGTAATTATCAGAACAAAAATTATATAAATTAAAAAAGGAAAAAAAGGTATATCAGCAACACTTCTGAAAGTGGCAGGACTCCATGTTGCTGTCACGTGAGCATCCAGTGCCAACTTCGCTGTCTTATATCTCAGTAAGTACTGACCCAATTTTTTTTAATCCTGTTACATGTAGAAAAATGCCCTCTTTATTTAAAAAAAAAAAAAAAAAAGATTTTTTTTTTTTCAAAATATTCGGAGCACTGGGTGAGACAACATAGACCTATGTTTGGACAGTTAAAGGGTTAATCACATCCTGTCTCATTCTCATGCCGTCGCATTGTACACCAGTGGTTCTGAATCTTCTGATGGTGTCGGATTTGCAGCAGTGTTTCTGGACAGCGTAGTGCAAGGGCATTTATTAGCATTGTTTCAGCTGAATTGTAAGCAATTCTTGTAGCAATTATCCATATTGCATCTATACCTGTTTTGCCATTTGTGGTAGTTTCAGACTCCCATAGTGCTTTGCAGGCTATAAAAACCTTCGCTTCATCTCGTACCCTGGTTCTTCATATTCAACTTTGGTTACACTGCATCTCTAGCATGTACATCATGTTGTCATACATGGCAATGAACAGGAAGACACTGCTGAGCAGTTGGCAGTACATGACCTCCCAGTTTCTAATAGAGGTGCTTCATTCACAAACTATTCTGCTGTAATTTCTAACCACCTTAGCAGCTGTTGTCAACAACATTGGTCTGATATGATACATAAATTACATTATATTAAACCAAGTTTAGGTTTCTGGTCATCTTCTTGTCATCAGTGCTGAAGTTGGGAGACTACATTCTCCCGTCTTCGTATCGGGCACACTTGTCTTACAGGTATCTCGGGGAAAGGTGCCCTGTTCCAATCCGTGAGAATTATCAGGTTCCAGTTTTGGTTAGCCATGTTCTGTTGGACTGTCCAGTCTATCAGTTAGCACGCAGAATTTATCTCAGACGTCGTCAACACTCTAATGCCCTTACTTTATCTTCCCTCCTTACTGATGGACCTACCTTTGACTCAGAGTACCTCATTGACTTTTTGACAGCAACTGATTTGCTGCATAAACTTTGATGTTATTTCCTCTAGCACTCCTCATAGCCCTTTCTAACTCTCCCTCTGTTATCCACTCCACCCTTGCTACTCTTTAATCCTGCACTATCCCCTGCCCTGCTGCACTGTAGGACCCTTGTAGGCTTAGCACTTTTTTTATAATAATAATTGGAAAGAAATATCCAAAAAAATTACTGAAGATAGTAGACAAGGCAGAGGAGATTATAGTTACTACAGTACTATTTTAATTTTGAATGTTACTGAATGAGAATATTTTAAATTTATTTTGTCATTTTTTCCAGATATTGCTTGGATAAGGATGACCTACCTCAGAGCATTCGCTACATGAACCTACTCCGAGGAGAACCTCGCAATGTTGCCATTAGTTGGTTACGGGAGGCCAGATTAACTCTGGAGACACGTCAAGCTGCCGATGCTCTTTTGGCTCATGCTGCTGCTACAGCTGTTAAGGCTCTGTAAAGCACTTTAACCTTCCATTGTTACCTTGTGAATTTGTAGCACACCATATCTCAAGAAATAACAAGATTGTGGAACTGTTTGCCTGCTGTATCTCCTAATATCCCACCTGCAAGAGATCTCACTCATTCAAACTAAAAATTACTTTATTAATCAGAATATTTCTTCTTTCAGTAAAGCTGATATTGGATTTAATGACTTTTGGTCCATAATTGTTCATAATAAAGACAGTATTAGGAGTTGGGTGTATGGCAGATATTTTTACCAAGAACGAATTTTCAGAAATCATTTTTTTATGGAATAGGGAGATTACAAAATTAGGAATAATAATAATAATTATTTTCACAAATGATTCACAAATCTTTACATAAAATACAGGAACAAAAGACATAACTGAATGTTGTTAATGACCTTCATGAGTGGTGCTTTCTGTAAATTTAGTAGTTCTATATTGGCGATTGAAAACCCAGTGGTCAGGTATAAATTAGTGTAGTATATTCCACCTAGAACAGTCAAGAAACTTAAAGCTATTTAGTGAAGTTAGGTGATGTGTTGTCAGGTGATACACAGTGGCAGTATCTGAACAACTTTGGTTGTATCTCAAATTTAAGAGAGCTTTGTGATTTTTAATTGCTGAAGAACTTAATGTTCCAACATATTTCTGGAATTTAGGTTTATACAGAATATCACCATTCATTCCGTTAATATGTATATATTGTTCATACTGTGTAAAGGATCATACTTTGGAAATGAAATGATATCTAATGTTTGCTTATTTATTTTCCTAATGTTTGGTGGTGGTAATGTTTTGATATACAGGTCGGCCATCTCTAACCCAGCAGTCAGTAATCCGGCATTAATTTCGGCTAGCATAATTTCAAATCCAGAGTCACCACACCAACCTGCCACTAGTGTTTGGCAGCGCTACTTGCTGCATAAGTCATTCCAATTTATTTTTCTCTATTGTTATACCCTGCTCACTTTTAGCCCTAGCCATAGTTCCAACGAATAAAAGAAATGCTTCTCAATGTGTAAAGCACATACACCGTATAGTGTCCATAACGGATAAGGTGGCTTTGAAACCATTGTCGGTTGCCATGAGCTCAGCTCACTCACATAATCAGTGACCAGTAAATTTGGGCCTACATATGACAGATAAGTCTATGTGTATCTTAAAAAAAATCCTGCAAGCAGTGCATAATGAAAAAAAAACTGACAGTACACTCATTACATACTTAAAATATTTATTTTTATTTTATTTTATTATCACACTGGCCGATTCCCACCAAGGCAGGGTGGCCCGAAAAAGAAAAACTTTCACCATCATTCACTCCATCACTGTCTTGCCAGAAGGGTGCTTTACACTACAGTTTGTAAACTGCAACATTAACACCCCTCCTTCAGAGTGCAGGCACTGTACTTCCCATCTCCAGGACTCAAGTCCGGCCTGCCGGTTTCCCTGAATCCCTTCATAAATGTTACTTTGCTCACACTCCAACAGCACGTCAAGTATTAAAAACCATTTGTCTCCATTCACTCCTATCAAACACGCTCACGCATGCCTGCTGGAAGTCCAAGCCCCTCGCACACAAAACCTCCTTTACCCCCTCCCTCCAACCCTTCCTAGGCCGACCCCTACCCCGCCTTCCTTCCACTACAGACTGATACACTCTTGAAGTCATTCTGTTTCGCTCCATTCTCTCTACATGTCCGAACCACCTCAACAACCCTTCCTCAGCCCTCTGGACAACAGTTTTGGTAATCCCACACCTCCTCCTAACTTCCAAACTACGAATTCTCTGCATTATATTCACACCACACATTGCCCTCAGACATGACATCTCCACTGCCTCCAGCCTTCTCCTCGCTGCAACATTCATCACCCACGCTTCACACCCATATAAGAGCGTTGGTAAAACTATACTCTCATACATTCCCCTCTTTGCCTCCAAGGACAAAGTTCTTTGTCTCCACAGACTCCTAAGTGCACCACTCACTCTTTTTCCCTCATCAATTCTATGATTCACCTCATCTTTCATAGACCCATCCGCTGACACGTCCACTCCCAAATATCTGAATACGTTCACCTCCTCCATACTCTCTCCCTCCAATCTGATATTCAATCTTTCATCACCTAATCTTTTAGTTATCCTCATAACCTTACTCTTTCCTGTATTCACCTTTAATTTTCTTCTTTTGCACACCCTACCAAATTCATCCACCAATCTCTGCAACTTCTCTTCAGAATCTCCCAAGAGCACAGTGTCATCAGCAAAGAGCAGCTGTGACAACTCCCACTTTGTGTGTGATTCTTTATCTTTTAACTCCACGCCTCTTGCCAAGACCCTCGCATTTACTTCTCTTACAACCCCATCTATAAATATATTAAACAACCACGGTGACATCACACATCCTTGTCTAAGGCCTACTTTTACTGGGAAAAAATTTCCCTCTTTCCTACATACTCTAACTTGAGCCTCACTATCCTCGTAAAAACTCTTCACTGCTTTCAGTAACCTACCTCCTACACCATACACTTGCAACATCTGCCACATTGCCCCCCTATCCACCCTGTCATACGCCTTTTCCAAATCCATAAATGCCACAAAGACCTCTTTAGCCTTATCTAAATACTGTTCACTTATATGTTTCACTGTAAACACCTGGTCCACACACCCCCTACCTTTCCTAAAGCCTCCTTGTTCATCTGCTATCCTATTCTCTGTCTTACTCTTAATTCTTTCAATTATAACTCTACCATACACCTTACCAGGTACACTCAACAGACTTATCCCCCTATAATTTTTGCACTCTCTTTTATCCCCTTTGCCTTTATACAAAGGAACTATGCATGCTCTCTGCCAATCCCTAGGTACCTTACCCTCTTCCATACATTTATTAAATAATTGCACCAACCACTCCAAAACTATATCCCCACCTGCTTTTAACATTTCTATCTTTATCCCATCAATCCCGCTGCCTTACCCCCTTTCATTTTACCTACTGCCTCACGAACTTCCCCACACTCACAACTGGCTCTTCCTCACTCCTACAAGATGTTATTCCTCCTTGCCCTATACACGAAATCACAGCTTCCCTATCTTCATCAACATTTAACAATTCCTCAAAATATTCCCTCCATCTTCCCAATACCTCTAACTCTCCATTTAATAACTCTCCTCTCCTATTTTTAACTGACAAATCCATTTGTTCTCTAGGCTTTCTTAACTTGTTAATCTCACTCCAAAACTTTTTCTTATTTTCAACAAAATTTGTTGATAACATCTCACCACTCTCTCATTTGCTCTCTTTTTACATTGCTTCACCACTCTCTTAACTTCTCTTTTTCTCCATATACTCTTCCCTCCTTGCATCACTTCTACTTTGTAAAAACTTCTCATATGCTAACTTTTTCTCCCTTACTACTCTCTTTACATCATCATTCCACCAATCGCTCCTCTTCCCTCCTGCACCCACTTTCCTGTAACCACAAACTTCTGCTGAACACTCTAACACTACATTTTTAAACCTAGCCCATACCTCTTCGACCCATTGCCTATGCTCTCATTAGCCCATCTATCCTCCAATAGCTGTTTATATCTTACCCTAACTGCCTCCTCTTTTAGTTTATAAACCTTCACCTCTCTCTTCCCTGATGCTTCTATTCTCCTTGTATCCCATCTACCTTTTACTCTCAGTGTAGCTACAACTAGAAAGTGATCTGATATATCTGTGGCCCCTCTATAAACATGTACATCCTGAAGTCTACTCAACAGTCTTTTATCTACCAATACATAATCCAACAAACTACTGTCATTTCGCCCTACATCATATCGTGTATACTTATTTATCCTCTTTTTCTTAAAATATGTATTACCTATAACTAAACCCCTTTCTATACAAAGTTCAATCAAAGGGCTCCCATTATCATTTACACCTGGCACCCCAAACTTACCTACCACACCCTCTCTAAAAGTTTCTCCTACTTTAGCATTCAGGTCCCCTACCACAATTACTCTCTCATTTGGTTCAAAGGCTCCTATACATTCACTTAACATCTCCCAAAATCTCTCTCTCTCCTCTGCATTCCTCTCTTCTCCAGGTGCATACACGCTTATTATGACCCACTTCTCGCATCCAACCTTTACTTTAATCCACATAATTCTTGAATTTACACATTCATATTCTCTTTTCTCCTTCCATAACTGATCATTTAACATTACTGCTACCCCTTCCTTTGCTCTAACTCTCTCAGATACTCCAGATTTAATCCCATTTATTTCCCCCCACTGAAACTCTCCTACCCCCTTCAGCTTTGTTTCGCTTAGGGCCAGGACATCCAACTTCTTTTCATTCATAACATCAGCAATCATCTGTTTCTTGTCATCCGCACTACATCCACGCACATTTAAGCAACCCAGTTTTATAAAGTTTTTCTTCTTCTCTTTTTTAGTAAATGTATACAGGAGAAGGGGTTACTAGCCCATTGCTCCCGGCATTTTAGTCGCCTCATACGACACGCATGGCTTACGGAGGAAAGATTCTTTTCCACTTCCCCATGGACAATAGAAGAAATAAAAAAGAACAAGAGCTATTTAGAAAAAGGAGAAAAACCTAGATGCATGTATATATATATATGCATGTGCGTGTCTGTGAAGTGTGACCAAAGTGTAAGTAGGAGTAGCAAGATATCCCTGTTATCTTAGCGTGTTTATGAGACAGAAAAAGAAAACCAGCAATCCTACCATCATGTAAAACAGTTACAGGTTTCTGTTTCACAGTCATCTGGCAGGACGGTAGTACTTCCCTGGGTGGTTGCTGTCTACCAACCTACTACCTTAACCCTTTGAGGGTCCAGAGGCCAAATCTCAGAGTAACAGCCAGGGTTCAAAAATTTTCAAAAAAAAATTTTGTTATTTTTTCTTATGAAATGGTAGAGAATCCTTTTCCGAAGGTAATAAAACAAAAAGTACAAAATTTGATGGAAAATTGACGAAATTACACTTGCAAATTTTACTGCATCAGCAATATTCACGCATCGGCGATTTTGCCAACTTTGAATCTCATTTGCGTTAGTCCAGTTGACCAAATTCTTAGCTATTTAGCTAGTATTACTTCTATTTTATCGATTGAGCACAAGAAATTGCCCAGTCAACTGTTTCAACTACCCAATAAAGTCATCGGAAATTGGTAATTTGGCCAGTTTAACACAAAGTTCAAATAGACCAATTTCAAAATAGGGTCCAGAATAAACAATGCAGGCATTCATGGCACTAAAACTAACATTTCCTCTGTTTGTTAGTTATGTTTTTAGACTTTACAAATGAATTCCATTTTGAAAAAGTAAGCATATGAGAGGTTTTTACAAAGAAGAAGTGATGCAAAGAGGGAAGAGTATATGGAGGAAAAAAGAGAGGTTAAGAGAGTGGTGAAGCAATCTAAAAAGAGAGCAAATGAGAGAGTGGGTGAATTTATTTTTTTTTTCTACAAACCGGCTGTATCCCACCAAGGCAGGGTGGCCCAAAAAGAAAAATGAAAGTTTTTCTTTTTAAATTTAGTACTTTGTACAGGAGAAAGGGTTACTAGCCCCTTGCTTCCTGCATTTTAGTCACCTCTTACAACACGCATGGCTTACGGAGGAAGAATTCTGTTCCACTTCCCCATGGAGATAAGAGGAAATAAACAAAAACAAGAACTAGAAAGAAAATAACAGAAAACCCAGAGGGATGTGTATATATATGCTTGTATATGTGTAGTGTGACTTAAG